CCTGGCTGGCCTAGAACTCCTATAGACCAGAGAGCCCCCTGCCTCTGCCTCCCGGAGTGCTAGGATCAAAGCGTGTGTCTCCACGCACCGCCCACCTCTTGAATTTTTTAGTTTTTATTTTGGTTTGCGTGTGTGTTTATGTCACGCTTTCTGAGATTAGAAGAGGGGGGTCTCAGATCTCCTGGAACTGGAGTTATGGATGGCTGTGAGCCACCACGAGGGTACTGGGAACTGAACCCAGAGCCTTTGTACGAGCAACAGTTCTCTTAGTGCCGAGACGTCTCCCCAGCCCCACGCTGTCTATAGTTATTTTGATCATATCTACTTTTCACTCCAACTTCCCGGACCCCCCCCCCCCACCTCCCCGGCCCCCCCCCCCCAGAGTCCCCCTTCCAACTTCATGTCCTTTATTTTATTGACTTATTTGGAGACAAGGTGTCATGCAGCCTAGGCTGGCCTTGAACTTGCTGTGTAGCTCAGGATAACCTTGAATTCCTCATCCTCCTGCCAATGCCTCCCCAGTGATGGGCTTGCAGGTGTGCACCACCACTCCTGGCTGTGGTCTTTTGGTTTTGTTTTTTGAGGCAGGGTTTCCCGGTGTAACCCTGGCTGACCTGGAACTCGCTCTGTAGACCAGGCTGGCTTTGAACTCAGAGATCCACCTGCCTCTGCCTCCCAAGTGCTGGGATTAAAGGCGTGCGCCACCACCCTTGGCGTCATGGAGACTTCCCAAGTGTAGACCTCCGCTGAGACCAGGATAAAGACACCATATGTTTTGGTTCTTGGGTGGGGGATGTGATCTCAGAAGGGTGCTTAGCCCCAGATCATAAATCCAGGCAGGAGGCGGACAGAATTGACTCTGCTGTTTCTCACCCTCAGGGACTATGTCCTGTCCCAGCAAGGCCACCATACCTGGGAAGACTGTCATCGTGACTGGAGCCAACACAGGTATCGGGAAACAGACTGCTTTAGAACTGGCTAAAAGAGGTAAGAGCACCACCAGCTTTGGGGTTTTGAAGAGATTTGTGCACACTGGTGTGTGTGGCAGCCTTGTTTAAAATAGCTCAAAGGTGGAAGCATTCGAGGCACTCATTTGCAGACAGACAGAATGTGGTCCGTCCGTACACTAGAATATTACCAAGCTTTCAGAAGGACAGGAATTTGGACATGCTCCTGTGTGGTGATTCTAGAGGCTGTTGTGCTAAGTGAAAAAAGCCAGACACACAGAAAAGACTACTGTGTAATTTTGTTTGTTAGAGTAGTTACTCTTTTTTTTTTTTTAAAATCTATTTCTATTATGTATTGTATCTATGTTGGTGTTGCCGTGTGTGTGTGCGTGTGTGTGTGTGTGTGTGTGTGTGTGTGTGTGTTTCAGAGGACAGCTGTTGTGGATTTTCTTGTCCTGCCACCCTACTTTAGCCCCAAATAAGCACACAGATGCTATATTAATTATAAAATGTTGGCCGGTGGCTTGGGCTTCTTATTGGCTACCTCTGTCTTAATTATTAGCCCATTTCTATTAATCTATGTATTTCCACATGGTTTTGGCTTACTGGAGAATGCCTTGCATGTCCTCTCTTCCTGGGCTCTACTGCCTACATTTCCCAGAATTCTTATCTCCTAGCGAGGCCTATACTTCCTGCCTGGCCAAATAGCCAGTCAGTGTTTTATTCATTAACCAGTAAGAGAACATATGTATAGAAGGACATCACCCCATCAGACAACTATGGAAGCTGGTGTCTCCTTCTATTATGTAGGTCCTGGGGATTGAACTCTGGTCCTCAGACTTGGCTTTACCTGTTGCCTTTACCTGTTGAGCCAATCTCCAGCCCCTGTATTTGTGTATAACTTGATAAGTTTGCTTAATTGTGTGTGTGTGTGTGTGTGTGTGTGTCTGCATGTGTGTGTGCATGTGTGTGTGCACGTGTGTGTGTGTGTGTATGTGAGTGCGCATGTGTGTGTGCATGTGTGTGTGCACGTGTGTGTGTGTGTGTATGTGAGTGCGCATGTGTGTGTGCATGTGTGTGTGCACGTGTGTGTGTGCGTGAGTGAGTGCACGTGTGTGTGTGTGTGTGTGTGTGTGTGTGTGTGTGTGTGGTGTGTATGTGTGTGTGTGTGCGCGCGCGCAAGTGTGAGTGAGTGCGTGTGTGTGTGTGTGTGTCTGCATGTGTGTGCACGTGTGTGTGTGTGTGAGTGAGTGCGCATGTGTGTGTGTGTCTGCATGTGTGTGTGCACCTGTGTGTGTGTGTGTGTGTGTGTGTGTGTGTGTGTGTGTGTAGATCCATGCCACCTTGTGGAGGACACAAGTCAGCCTCTGGTGCCGTTGCTCAGGATATCATAGTAACGGCAGCACTAAACTCATTGCACACTCCCGTACATCCCCGAAATGTTTCCGTCTCCCACCTGTTCTTAGAATATTTCGTGACCCTGAAGGGACCTTCATCTCGTTACTCATCACCCACCACGCCCCGATCTTCCCCGTTTCCCCAGCTCCAGGAAACCTGTGTCTGCTCTCTGTCTCTGGATTTGCCTGTTCAGGACACTTCATATAAGTGGAAGCATGTGTGAATTTTGTTGTTGTTTTTCGAGACAGGGTTTCTCTGTGGCTTTGGAGGCTGTCCTGGAACTAGCTCTTGTAGACCAGGCTGGTCTCGAACTCACAGAGATCCACCTGCCTCTGCCTCCCGAGTGCTGGGATTAAAGGTGTGCGCCACCACCGATGGCGCATCTATGAATTTTTCGTCTGACACACTGTGTATAGTGGTTTCAAGGTCCATTCACTGTGTCATGTGTCTGCGTCATTCCCTTTTATGGCTGAACAATATACTATCACATGGATAAACTAATTGGTTTATCTATTGATCAGTCCGTTGCTATTGTTTGAGTGTGTGTGTTGGGGATTGAACCCAGGGCTGCTTCTTTATTAGTCAGGTGCTCTACCACTGAGCCACGCCCCCAGCCCCTCTCTGGGGGATTCTAGGCAGGGGCTCTACCCCTGAGCCACCCCCCAGCCCCTCACTGGGGGATTCTAGGCAGGGCTCTACCACTGAGCCATGCTCCCAGCTCTTCTTTTGGGGACTGTGGGCAAACACTCTACCACTGAGCCACACCCTCAGCCCTGTACTGGTAAATTTTAGGAGAAGCTCTGCTGCTGAATTACGTCCTCAGTCCTGTTTTCTTTTTTACTTTTTGAGATAGGTTCTTACTAAATTATCCAGGCAGGTCTCGAACTCACTCTGTAGCCTAGGCAGGCTTTGAACTGGCAATCCTCCTGCCTCAGCCTCCAGAGTCACTGCTAAGCCTGAGTAATTGGGTTTCCATCTTTTGACTATTGAATATATCACTAAGACTTCTTATGTACAGGTTTTATGTGGGTGCATGCTTTTATGTCCGTTGGGTAGATATGTAGGGGTAGGTTTGTTTTCTTTTTCTTTTCATGTTTTGTTTGCCTGGGCATCCAGGAGGAAACATCATCCTGGCCTGTCGTGACATGGAGAAGTGTGAGGCGGCCGCGAAGGACATCCGCGGAGAGACCTTGAATCCCCGTGTACGCGCTCAGCACCTAGACTTGGCTTCCCTCAAGTCCATCCGA